ACTTCGCCGTAAGATTCTCATTAACGGTAATTATATCTGTTTATTCGGTAACCATATCGAAATATATCCAATTCACCTAATCAACAATAGGAAATCAATCTAAGCTGCGCGACAACGAACGCGATTTAAAATGAGAATGAAGCTAAAATTTTATCGGGTTTTTCCCTTACCTTCGAGAATAAACGATGGTGGCGGCGAGGGCGATACCGGCCATGGCAGTGAAAGCGATGGCTATGCCAGAAGGCGAAACCACGGAGTAATAAGACCAGAAACCGCCACCTCCACCACCGCCGGAGGTACTAGCTTCCGCGAATAAGGTCCATTTCTTAAAACTCGCAATGCTGTCGTCGGATGAGAGAAATAGCATGAAAAAGGCGATGTATGGCGAAACGACGGTAACGCCTAAGCGGCTAAGATCCAGAATCGAATATCGCCTCTTCTCCTGCTGGTTCTCCTTCTTCTTCTTCAAATCTCTGATCATCAACAAACGGAGGGGAACCGCTTGGGCCAATTTGTTCTCTGAATTCTGGTTTGTTTCTTGGAATGATTATTATTAGTCATTATTACTATAAATCGTTCAATTGAAAGCTTTGCCTCGCTTTTCATGAAATGCAGCAACTATAATATAGTAAGGGTATCCATTTTTGCCTTCCATTATTATTATTGACTGTGTGAACGAGAGAAAGAGAGAGAAGGCGGCAAATTTCAGGTTTCCATTGTTGAGCCAAATTTTAGGTCTTTTAGCTCGGCCTATATTCATATTTATTATTAAAAAATTAATTTTGTTTTTATTTTATTATAAAATATTATAAATAATTACATAAAATTTTAGGCCACATTAGGTTAATGAGATATAATATTATTTTTAAGAGAAATGGTAAAATACAGTAAATATGTGAGAATACATTCTCATTATTTCAAGAACAAATTTAATATTATTTTTCAATGGCAAAAAAAATCAAAGGCTGGATTAGAAGAAAAAATAAATTATATCATCTTCACGTAATTATATTTTCTCGTATTTTATTAATTGTATTTTTAATTTTTTAATTTATTTATTAAACTTTTGAATTAGTCTTTTTTTATCACTCTAAATTATTTTATTATTATTTACGTATGACATTACATAAATTGTATTGGTCGCTTCATCTCGACACCCTGAGTTCAAATCTTACCTCCAAGTAGTTGAAACTTGATATAAAGTCCACGAATTAGATATCGAAAGTGAGGAGGCCGAAATGTTTCAAACGAGATTCATGTGTTTTGAGACATTTTCTGGTTAAACAATCACCAGATATGCACTTAGGGGTCAAGACGAATCAACCCATGAAATTTCAGATCGAATCAACACCATCTACGATGGTTGACAGTGACCTACGGTGACATCCGACCACCTTCTGTATTTTGTTTTATGTTTTCAATTATTTTATATTAAATAATAATAAAAAATACACGTCGTACAAAAATTATAATAAAATAATTTAGAGTGATCAAAACATGAACATTTCAAAAATTCAATGAGTAATTAAAAAAATTGAAAGTACAATAAGTAAAAAAGGAGAGAAAATATAATTTAGTGAAAAATGATATAGGAGAAATTATTTGATAGATTGACTCATAGCAAGTGAGACAAAATAGAAACCAGAACATCATCCGATAGATGACTTATCCTATTCTCATAATCAAATTCTATCTTCAATGAGATTACACACAGGGGCGGATGTACACGGCTCCTTAGGAGAGTCATTGCACACCTATTATTTTGAGAAAGTTTTAAATTTAGTTTAATTTGTTAATAGGAATAGAAAAAAATAAGAAAAATTGCAAATCCAATTTTTTTTAGAATAGGGTATTAAAATTTTGGACCCCTATTTTTTAATTTCTAGATCCGTCACCGATTATACATGGAAGGGACACGAGAGAAAACATTGGACGTTAGTACAAGAAAAGAGACAAAGAAACAGGGAAAATCATGTTATATCTCTAAACAAGCATCTATCTCGGTGATTAAAACAACACCTTCTGGGTTTTCCGAGTACACAGGTTAAGTTCTGGTTTAAATCTTTCCATTCTAATGTTCCAAACTTGAGCACAATCTCTCTCGTTATCGGTGATTGTAACTCGAATAAATTACCTTCAAGAACAGCTAGAAAAGTGACACCATAAATTCATCAAACAAATCCATTAACGCAATCAAACAAGAACTAAAGATTCAAACTTTCTCTCTACTCTGTCGAAATATTAATAAGATAATATCAACTTTTGAATTTGGCAATATCGCTACAGAGCAGAGTGATAAAGATCAAGAAATCAAACTATCACCTGCTAATTGGAAGGGTCTTTGAGTCTGGAATCTGTATTTATAACTCGAATGTAATCGTGAGAGATCAGATACAAAAAACCCTTTAAATCTTTCTTTTCATTACCAGATTTCGCTTTCACAGGACTCGCAGAAGACAATGATTTAGGGTTTTGGGAAAGTTACACTTTTATTAAAACTAATATACACATATATTAAATTTAATATAGGTTAATAAGTTAGAGTACACTTGCCGACTAAAACTCGGAGAATTGAAATAATGTTCGGACCATAACCCTAATCGTTCGTGTATGCTATTTCTTCACATGCAAGGTAGTTGGCCAGTTGGTGCATGTGAGTTTACTTGTAAAAGAAGTATATACAAACAAAGATCAAAATATTTAACGACTTAATTAAATAAAAAACTACAATGACCATATATTAAATTTTTTGAAATCACTGAGAAAAAATAGACAAAACATAAACATAAGTGATCAACTATGTAGTCAGCCCTAAAATTTATAAATAATGAGCACCAAATATATTGTTATATAAATATATATAGTTAGCACTTTAATTTTTCTATAATTAATTACTTTAAGTGATTTAGTTGAAAACAAATTAAAATTTCAACGATCAAATATATAATTAAATTTTGGGTAAACAACACATTTAGTATCTAAATTATCAATTTTAAACCATTTTTGTATCTAAACTTTTAATTTTAATACTTGCCTTAAATTAATGTTTAGTTTTTATTTCATTTTACTAGTAGCCATTAAAAGCTTAACGTATTAGTACCTAAACTATTAGTTTTGGTCTGTTTTAGTACCTAAACTTTCAAAAAAAAAATCAAAACTTAACATTAAATTTTGAACAGGGGTACAAAAACTAAACTTTATATATAATTTTAAATAAATTGAAAGTTTAGATACTAAAATAAATCAAAACTGATAGTTTAGCTACTAGACGCATAATTTTTGTGGGCATTTGACAAAAGATGGGTGGGCTTTGCTTCCGGTTATGAACTACTTTCTCTGACCGGATCCTCTCTAAAACTCTATTAAATTGGACCTTGGGTTTTCTCTTACCGGATTCATAAGTTTTATTTTATTATATTGATTTTTGTTTAAAATTGAGATTACAACATTCAAATTTAGTTAAATCTATTGATCCACTAAAATAAGATAATCAATAAAAAATACACAAAAAATCTAAAATATAATAGAATTTAAAATTTCTAAAAGATACGACCGTATCTCATCATCATCTCGAAATTGGGACAAGTTGGGACCTGCATTGTGTAATAGACGTCAGAGATGATGCAGTGTATCCACTAGCAAAGCAAATTGAAATGGCTGTGGACCCAAAGGGACGAAGGTGCTCTTTGCATGTGATTTTCCCACTACTCTGTCATGCATGCGCTATTGCTATGTATTGGAGCATACCTTTGTTTTAAATTTATTGGAGCAAGTGCCTACAATCTTTGAAAATGTAGCAAAGGGTTTCATACCTGAAAATGAGATAACATTAATAGATTGTTATTAATCAATTGGATTTCATCTATGATATCATTGATAAGGGATCTCGAGGAAGGTGGTCAAAGACGATTCATTTGGAAGTGTTCGAGAGTCGTATATAAAGACTTTATGAGTTTAAATGTGTATGGTGGTATGCTGTGGGATGTACTCAGTGGAGAAAGTTTATACAATCTCACAAGGGTTTGTGTGTTTGCTCTTCGATCAGGGATGAAGTCATGATTGAACTACGAGGAAGTTAAACTATTTAATTTTAAAATGAACACGAAAAATTATCGAGAGAAACAAAAGACTAATTTCAATAGTATCAAAATTATCTTCCTTAAGATATAATTAAATCGTCAAATTTTGAGGTCATATGTTTGGTGATGGGAATCAATGAAGGCAAATTGTTGCAAATTACGTATTAAAGAGGATCATATGTTAATATATTTCATTTTCTCCATTTCAAACGATATCTGTTATTCCCAACTAAGATTTGCTTATAATATGGTGGACAAGAACATCATAATCCACAATGCTATTCAAGGCACTTCCACATCTACTAATTAAACTACATACCTCCATTTGCGCTTGGCTGGAGAGCACCCAATTTCAATGGAAGGGATATATCCGATTTTATGTAAATTTCGTAGGGATCATTTTATATCCCTTATGTACATGTATTGGACTTGTTAAAGGGCTTTTCAATTATAGTGATCACTTATCAGTTGGAGTAAAAATAGTGTTATCTCAAAAACTACGACAGATCAGTGATTACTATAAACTTTCCAAGGTCTATTGAATTTTAAAACTCAAAAGATAGTTAAATTGGATTGGTCTATGTTAAGTATACAAACAAGTTGATTAGTTGCTCATAATTATATATCAGCCAATATCAATCCGTGTCGGCTCAAGCATAGTTTCCATTATTGGGCTACTTCAGATATGCATCATACTAAATGATAAAGATATTATGATTTGTTGTTAGGTTTAAGTTGAAACAAAGGTGGGCGCCAGCAAAAGCACACTAGTGAGCTTAAACTCGTGTCTTATGTTATGTCCGAACCACATTGTGGTGGAACCCCACGAGTTTCCTTTTGCATGTGCAAGCTTCCGACCCCTTCACGCGTACTTCATTTTCATGGCTCCAATCCGATGATCCGATCCCTATATAAACCCACCTTCACTTGCATTCTAAACCAGGGTTGTGGGTTTTCAAGTGTTGTCATGGCTAAACATGTGATATTTGGTGCGGTTTTGTTTGTGTTATTAGGTATAGGGATCTGTTCCGCAAATAGAGCTCTCCTCACTCTTGATGGTGTGATTTCCGGTGTTGGTCATTTGGGTGGAACCGTTGGGGTTAATGGTGGTGTTAGCATAGGTGGAGGAGGTGGAGGTGGTGGTTCAGGAGGTGGTTCTGTAGCTGTAGGAGAAGGTGGAAGTAGTTTGGGATATGGAGGTGGTGGTGGTAGCGGAGAAGGTGGTGGTGTTGGTTATGGAGGTGCTGGTGGACACGGAGGAGGTGGTGGCAATGGAGGTGGTGGAGGTAGTGCAGGTGGAGGTGGAGCTTCAGGATATGGAAGTGGGGCTGGTGAAGGTGGTGGAGCTGGTAGTGGTGTTGGATATGGAGGAGCAGGTGGATATGGAGGTGGTGGCGGTAAAGGTGGTGGTGGTGGTAGTGGAGGTGGAGCTTCAGGGTATGGAAGTGGAAGTGGGGAAGGCAGTGGGGCTGGCGGTGGAGCTGGTAATGGTGGTGGTGGACATGGAGGTGGTGGCGGCGGTGGTGGTGGTAGTGGGGGTGGGGGTGGAGCTGCTGGGAGTGGAAGTGGAGGTGGAAAAGGCGGTGGCTCTGGGTATGGCTCTGGTGGTGCTGGTTCCGGAGGTGGAGGAGGCGGTGGTGGTGGTGGTGGAGGAGGCGGAGGTAGTGGAGGGGCACATGGAGGAGGATATGGTGCTGGAGAAGGAGCCGGAGGAGGTTCTGGTGGGGGTGCGGGTGGTCAAGGTGGTGGCGGAGGTGGTGGCTCTGGTGGTGGAGGTGGTGGAGGCTATGTTGAAGGAGGTGCTCATGGGGGAGGATACGGAGGTGGTAGTGGGAGTGGCGAAGGTGGTGGTCATGGGAGCTATGCTCCATGAACATACCTTATCATCACTAGTAGACTACACTATGAATATGAATTTTCTTACCAAAAGTAATAACCAAAATAAAGGAAATGTAGGTAAGAAAATCAAAATGCTCAAAGCTATTGTAAGAAATTATGGAAGCCAAATAGATGGCCTTACAAGTTGTATCAGATGAATTTATATTTTCCTGCTCTCTTTAATTATATATGTGGAGATAATTTTAATATATTAAATTATTTTATTATATTGTCATTTTTAGTATTAATATCTCATTTAACTTGATATTTAATTTTTTTGTTCATTAAATAAATTTATCTGTCAATTCTTTTACTACAACCTAATATAATCGCTATATCTTTTTCACTTGATTCTCTCATACCCTAAATCGGGTATTTTCCTATGATGATAACGTCGAAGTAATTCTTCAGCTTGTATCTTCATTGATGTTCTTAAGTACAATGAGAAAATTAACAATCAATTTATAAAGCCGTTAGTGATAAAAAAAAATCAAATGTAATAAATTTAATGAGAAAATTAAACGGATTTCAAGTACAATGAGTAAAATAAAAGAGAAAATAAAGTTCATAGTAAAATAAAAGAGAGTAAAATTCAGTGATAATGGGTGTAATTTACCCTTTTCAAAAAAAATGTTTGATGATCAGAATTGTTTATTTTTTTTTATAAGGGAACAAATTTTCAAATTTTATTTTCTATTTGATTTCCTAGAAAATTTTAGAAAAGGAAGATGATCAAAGATTACTCTTCAAATATTTATTAGATAATCTTTTTAATAGACGACTTAAAAAGAGTTGCAAGCAAATATAATCAAGTCCCAGAATATGAAAATAAAACGCTAAGAAAACCATAAGAGCAAAGTTGGAGGTTTTTAAAATATTTATTTGTCCTGTGAAAGAATTGTTATTATAAAATCGGTCTACATTCACAATTAAAAGACATCGGCCGGCGATCTAACATAACAAGCCCAAATATATAAATATGTTTTTCGAGACCCGAAACACACTACATTACAGGACTCTGTCCTGGAAATCCGAAAGAAAATTCGATGCCAAAGAGCTCAGTTTCTTTCCGGTCTCCCCGGCCATGTTCTTCAGGTTCGAGATATCCTGTTGTGCCTGAAAGTTGGAAGAAACAGGACAACGATGAACTTCACCGGGATCACATGCACTAATGAAAATTCAGGAGATGAGTAAAAGAAGCAATTTACAAAGCCGACCTGGAAAGAGAGCCGGTTGATGAGGTCGCTAGCAGCAAGGTCAATAGAATTATCTGCACTTTGACCGAATAGATCAGCGCTGGAGATGGCCGTCGAACCCTACAAAAAAGAAAGAAGAAAAAGGCTAAACGTTATGAAGCACATTCCAGATGTTAATGATTCCTCACCAGAGCTAAACGTTCAAACTTCAATGGAAATACGATTGCTGTTCTACGATTGCCAACCAGAAAACGAAAAGATTATAACAAGATGTACAAAAAATTCAAGATAGATGGATAAAGTCTTTCAAGTCTTAAAAAAGATTGTTTTTTTTTTACGAGAAAGGAATAGCCACTGCACATACTGAGAATTTTTGCAGAGTAACTTGAGTTTCGTTGTCAGCTGCTCTGGTATGATCACCGAAAAATTGGGCTGATGAAATAGATTTCGCATTTGAGAACTTTTTCCTAGCTTCATCGGTTTCCTGAATCTGAAATATAAATGAAGCAATAAGATGAAAAACTAAAATAAAAAGGCAAGAGAGATACAAGCAGAAATAAGAAATAAGATTGAACACTTCAAGGGAACAATTATACAAGTTGAAATCATCTCCGGCAGTACAAGTTTGCATTGAACCTTGGATGACATGAAAGACGAGCAAGATGCTCTATAATCAAAAGGAGACAATTCTATTATCCTAATCAGCCATTTATATAAAATCAGAAGGTCCTTGGTATCAATGGATGTCGCATTACTTACTTGCACTTTTGAGGAATTTGAGCTTGATTTCTTCTGAAACCCACTGTCCATTCCAAATTCCGCAAAGAAGCTTGATGACTTTGGAGGAGCAACATGATTAAGCACTTGTGGGCCACCATGATTTGAATCAGTAGATTGAACATTTTCTACATACTCAAAACGAGAAGGAAAAGATGAGCCAAGGGGTGCAATGTCATTAGTTGAAGAAGCAACAGGAGCAACTGGTTCTTCGGGCTTCTGTTCGTAGAGATTTTCACTTGGCTACAAATCAAAGAAGGCCATGTTATCATGAGGAAAGGAATCAAACTAACTCCAAAATTAAATATTCAAATGAGGATATCCATGTGAGCATTCTGCAGCAATCACATTGCTTACAAAATTCCATTATAAGTACCTTAGTAGTAAGCTTTCGCGCACCAAGCCCCCCAGTTTTCCCCGTAAGCTTTCTTGCACCAAGAGGCTTCTTGAAAGTGCTTGTAACAACTGTATGAGAACTTTTTGGGGAAGCAGAAGCTTCTGGTTTTTCTTGCTTGACTATAGAGCTTTCTTTAGGAGCTTCATCAATCTTGCTATCAGAAAACCCATTAGGTGCTTGTGATGACTGAGAAGCAACAGGGGATGAAGGCAAACCGGCATCTTCCGCCATGCTTTTAGCGACTTCTTTTGATAGTATTTGCCGATATAAATTCGCAGCTCTTGAAGTGTACTTGGCTTCGATCTTGCCTCCATCAGTCCATCCATGTTGCTTAAAGAAAACTTGTGCACGGTTGTTTCCACCATAGATCATCATTTTCAATTGTTCAGGAGACCATGAGTCTAAATTTGTAGACCTGCATAAAATATACATGTTTTTCGTAAAAACAGAAGAGAAACACAAAGGCTCGAGAATATAAGCAGCAGCTGCATCTTTTTATGATGATATAGAATATAGACAACAAAAAAAATAGCTGACCCTATTCCCATATGTAATGGGGGTAAAAAGGAGGTAGGGTAGTATACTGCCCCCAACGCTAGGTTGAGAGCAACTTCTGTGGAAGACCTCCGACAATTATGAATTACCCACCGTGGGACTCGATCCCACGACCACAAGGTTAAGAGCCTTGCGCTCTACCAACTGAGTCTAGACAACAGATATCACAAAATTCACACTAATTTGCATGTCATAATAATTTATAAACACCAAAATCTAAAAGAGTCTAGCTCTTTTTCCCACGTTCATTCCTTTAGTTGAATCCCAGTAAATCAAAAAAGAACACAACATAATCTTCTCAATGAAAACTTTCCATGTACAAAATTTTTCAATTTCCACAGCTGATATTTCAGTTTTATCTATAAATTTCCCGAGCAAAATAAGAACTAAAAGCGCAAAAAGCCTTTTTTTTTATTCCTCTATGGCTATATAATAATCAAACAAAAATTCCAGCCAATTTCAAGCATAGTTTAAGAATCCAGGTGCACAAAATCAAAACGCTTCATTCACAATACAAAACACCATAAAAGTAAGAGCATTCGAATTAAAAACCTAATCATACCTGACAAAGCTGATGTGGACACCGAGACTCCGATGAACGGCTGAGCAATCGATGCAGAGAAAGATCCCATATGTAATCGACGCCCATGTCGGATTCTTCGCATTACAATCAAAACACATCTACCAAACAAAAAACGATGCAAATAAGCCGAATTTCAAGATGCAGCAACCGAAATTCCAGATCTAAAAACATAATCATTCAAAAAATTCAAAACAAAAAATGAAAAGAAGCAGACCTTGTTCTCTGATTTTGCTTTCAGTTTTCTGAAGACAGCGTTCTTGTCGCTCAGGCTATCCGACGACGCCATCGATTTCTCTCTTTTTTCTTCCTTTTTGAAATTTAGAACGATTTTTTGTTGAATTTTTAAGAAGATTTAATCTGATTCCGAAGAGGTGTGGGATCGAACACCTCCTCCTCAGGCTTTGAGAATGGAGGAAGAAGAAATCCTCTAGTATTAAAAAACCTGACACCAACTGTGAATAAATTTACTACAAAAACAAATTAATAAAAGTATTTTTATGTTTATAATATGCTTTAAAAAAATTAAATAAAAGGTTTAACATAAACATAAGTGCCCAAATTATACCATTTTTTCTAGATAGGTGTCTAAACTATTTTTTTAACCCATCTACGTGTCTAACGTTACAAATATTATCATTTAAGGTACTCAAGCCATCAACAACATTAATTTTCTCCATTAAATGGTACGCGTCACAATTTAGTGATTTTGAAATTTATTTTTAGAAAAAATATTAAAAATATTATTATATTTAAAAAATCTTATTTCTCTTAAATTATAAAAAACTCAAAATCCTCAAATCATAACCTTAACCCGTCGTCGTTGTCCTTTCCATCCACGATCACTGTCTTTAATGTAGCCTCTGTCATTTTCCTAGCCATATGTCACCGTAGTTACCGTCGATTGACCGTCGAAATCGTGTGATATCGTGATTTTTATCTTAGGGTTTGTGGGGCATAAAATATCGATTCGTCATCGATCAGTCGTCGATCGATCACAATTTCATAGGAGTTTTGGACACCAGGGGAGGTGAGGTTGGGCAGAGCTTCATCGACGGTAAAGGGTGACATACGACGTGAGTTTAGGGGTTGAAATGAATATTTTCAAAGTTTTGGGGTTATTTCAAAAAAATTCTGTTTTCTTTTTAAAAATATATAATTTTTAAATTTTAAATAAAAGTTTTAAAATTATCAAATTGTGACATGTATCACTTAACAGAAAAATTAACACCATTAACGACCCTAACACCTAAAATGATAACGTTTATAATATTAGACATCGAAATGAATAAAAAATAGTTTAGACACCTATTAAAAAAATATAGTTAGATACTTATTTTAATATTAAGTGTAAATAAATAAATAAATAACCACCGATTTATGCTTTGTTTTGTATACTAATATTATTACAGCTCGAATCGGTTATCAAAACGCACAATCAAATTAATAATTATAATAATCAGATCAATATTTTATTAAACAATTAATATATTTATATTTATCACATGTCCTTTTATTAGGTTAACCTCAAATTTAAAAGTTGAATATCAAATCAAACATTATTATTTTTAATAATATGTAGTAGAGTGATTATAAAATAGTATATGTTTAAAAAAAATTAATTATCGATTATATATATAAATAATAGTGAATCTAGAAATATTTTGTCTAAAATAATTCATATATAATTTTAATTTAAAAATATAATAACAATTATATATATGATTCACATATATTTTGGTCACCCAACTTTTGAAACTTATAATACAATCATAGAACTTTTTAATTCGTTTGCAGTAAGGTCTCTGTCGTTACTTCTCGTTAGTTTTTAATGATGTGGCAGGTAACCTTCCGTTAACCCCCTTCTTCTTCTCCTCCTCCTCCTACTCCTTCTCTCACACGCATAAATATAATTTTCGTTCACCCCACCTCTGATTAATGGTGGCTCACACTGCCATCACCATCGTCACTGGCTTCGCCTCCCGACCTGCTTCTATTTCTTCCCTTTTATATCTCTCCTCTCCCCATCACATGACATGATAAAAGCTTCCATTATTTTTCAGAAAACAGTGAAAGAAGGCCATAAATATTTTTCAATCATGACGTGATATTATCTTACGATGATATTATCTTACGATGATACACCAACATCACAGCTAATCTTTTAAAGACGAGTGACAAAAATAAACCTAAATGTAACATTAAGTATGATTTAAAATAAATAATAGTTGAGTGGTCAAAATAGAAATTAAATAAAAAATAAGTTACTAAATAAATAATTTACTCTTTTTAGTATATGGGGTTCATGGACTAGGTAAGCTTAGATACGCCCATTTACACAAATTCTATAAACGTAACTATTTAAATATGAGATCTTTAAGAAAAATAACACAATTTTATTATTTAAATCACTTAATAGGTTCATGACGTAAAGTATTCTTAAGTATATAGATTAAATTTTATAAAAAAGTATACTTATCACATTAATAACAGGTTAAACCCAAATTATATAGAGGTATATAGATACACATTTAAGATTGTACTCTTAATTTTAAAGTATATTTTACATCAAATTCGAGCTAATATTAACGTTCAAACTAATAAATTGAAGCTAACGATAATAATTAATTAATACGATCAGTTTTATTAATAATAAATTTTAGATTTTATTTAAAAATATTTTGGAAATTAAAATCGATCAATTTAATAGTAGAGGACTAATTTAGACCTGATCTTATAATAGAGGACTAATTTAAATAGGTTCAAATAATGCAGGTACCCATCAGGTATTTTCACTGTTTAACATTGAAACCTAACTGGATACGTATAATCTTCTACGACAGATATTTCAGGAGAAAGTAACTGCAAGTCTGCAGAACTCTTTTATTTATATTTGGGGCTCAATTCAGCCACTCCAAAGAACCAGTCTGATTCCAGTGCCGCCGTAAATGCCGTTCGCCGCCTCCAGGTGGTATTGATGGCTACCGATGGAAGAAGAATGGGATGGAGAAGTCACAAGGAGGAGCTACAGTCCAATTGGTCGGATCTTCCTCGTGAGATCGTTGAATGTATAATCAAACATTTGCATTCGGTAGATCGGATCCGGATCCGATCCGTTTGCAAGTCTTGGTCATTCCCAACACCGGTGAACAGCCCTGGGCAATGGATATTTATCAGGGGGAAACCAAAAACAGAGGTTGAAGATGATTTGAATGATCACATATTGTACATTGGATGCACGTCCTTTCTTTCTTCCAGCCGTGGGAGAAACAAATGAATTTGCAAACACTGTGTTTTCTCGTCGTGATTGGATTTTATATGTGATATGTTATGGCAGCAGATTCAATAGTTGTACTCGATCACCACCCTACTGTAAATGTGTCACGGCTTTTAAGTACATATCGAACTGGATTGAACTTCCGGTGCGTGGTATTTGGACAGTCAATGATTTGATTAATGCTGCAAATTGAGAAATGTCAGCACTCTGAAGGGAATGCCTCGAATAACCTGAACAACTGAAACAATCATTTGTTTGTCTATGGAACCTTTTGTGGTTGAAACCCGTTATGTCATCTTTATCCGATTTATTAGTGGAATAATTCGATTTGATTATTATTGTGATGGGAGTGGTAAAAATTGTATACATTTCTGGCATTTGGTCTCTCTTGGAATGTTTTCCCAATGGAGCTGATATATCTTGAGTTCAAGGTGGATTTTTTTAATTGATATTGTATATATAACGTTAATGGGTAGCATGGTCTTTTAGAAGAAGAGAAAAATCGGTCATTTTTTCTGTTTCATTTTGTGTTAATAAACGCTGTCGCTTTGCCAGAAATGTTCATGGAATTTATGGTGTACCGTCCTGAAGAGTTTCTTCGAATGCATTAATATGTTGGCCGTTCCTTTATAATCTTTCTATTCTCCTCCCATTTACGGAGCTAGGGTTGGATCGTGAGAGGGACAAATTGTACAAGGACCTAAAAGGTATTTAATGAAGGGGCAATGACTTAATTTTACTAATAATAAAATTTGTGAGGCCCAAAATTTTATTATCATCGGATGAACTCCAAAACCCAAAGGTTCAATCTTCCCAATTATAATTGCTTTTAAAACCGATTCTTGAAATTGCAAACAAATAATGCAGCTCTGTGAATAAAAAAGGGCTATAGCCTTTACAAGAGAAAAAACCACCAAATTACCCACTCGAAATGTAATCATATAAACAAAAACTCCATTTTGATTGTGAAAAGAAAATGCCTACCAATTCATGAAAGTATGACAGAAGCCTGCATCCTTCACTAGGGAAATGCGGACTCATGGGAGTATGTATCGACTACAATCTCAGGGTAGCGATCCCATGTTTCTATCTAGCACCTGATCTCGTATGAGCCGGCCTTGGTAATGTAGCGAACCCATTCGACCGTGTTATACCCACTCTTTTCCCACACCTGCAAAACAATGATGAAGTCAATAGAGCAAACTCACCTATAGGAATCACCTTATAGGTTCAGAAAAGACAACCATGCTTACCTTAAGAAACCGGACACGTAAGCCGGAGGCTGTAAACATTGGAACCTGAGAAGAAAATGCAAATAGTTAAATATGTCTTGCCTGAAGGGTTTCACTAATGCGAGCCAAGGTAATAATCTCCTCTCTCCCCCCACCCCAAACCGAACAACAACCTGCCCACCCCACCAAATTTCCAATTTTCTATTCATTTAGCCTATATGGGAATTCAACAATCTTAAAGAGGGCAAAAAGAGGTAATCTAAAGTACTAATGACATGGTTTACAAATAATACATGAAGTACAGCATCTCTGGTATAACAAAATTTGAAGAACAATTCACAATAGCAATATTTTTCCCCTACAATTTACAACAAAATATGTTGCAATAAAACAAGAACAATTCAACATATGATCAAGAAGTAAAATATTAATTAACTTGGGCACCTGAAATTCCATCTGAATAGGAGGCCTCGTCCAAGATTTCTTCTCTGCCATCGTGGAAATTAACTCCACTTCTGCACTCAATGTTGGTTCTGTTTGCCCAGGGAATTTTCTAATCCTAAAATATTAGATGAATACAACATTGAGAAACTGCTTTAGTCAATCTAGAGATGAAGCATAAGTAGAGTGAAAATTACAGACTATTGGCAACCAGATGGCTGGCAGCAGTCCACTTTAAGATGAGAAGAAAAGCAGAAAGCAAGAACCTCAACATAAAAGTAGAATACAGAAGATACACATATTAACAAACTAAAACACTTACTTCCAAACCAAGCAATCAATAGAAGCTTGATACTTTGCTCGACCTGATGTTACTTGGAAACTTGTTTTCGCCGTCTGTTTTGGAACAGGAATTTTGATAACAACCCCAAGAGCAAACATCTTTGCTCCAAATACACTTTTAACCTGAAATATTAATATAAATAAGCC